CAGTGCGAGGAACGAAAGAAGCCTTTCTAGAAGGGGGGGCCACTTAGGCTATGTCTTGAAAGACAAAGATGAGAAGGCAGAGATGTCCCAGTAAGAGGCAAAGCCTGGGCAAGGCATGGAGGAGTAGAACAGTATGGCGCATTGGAGGAATTAGTTCTTGTGGCTAAAAGGATACAGTACAGGACAGTAGCACTGTTCTTTGTACCTCACCTGGAGAGCTTATTTAAAATGCAGAGCTTAAGGACTCACTCCCAAGAGGTCCAACTCATCAGGTCCAGGACAGAGCACAGGAATCTGCATTTTAACAAGCAATCCAGATTTTGATGCGGGTGCCCCCGGGCTACACTTTGAAGCATGCTGTATGTTGTGTAAGGGCTTGGATTTGAGTGACACACACATCTGAGTTCAAGCCTGGTTCTGTCACTTACTTTGGGAAAGTTTCCTTAACTCTCTCTGCCTCAATTTCCTCCATTTTGCCTGTACAACAGGGAAAACCCTCACTGCGATGCTATGAGGTTTAAATGAGAGGAAAAGCATCTAGCACAGTGTCTGGCAAATAGAGCAGTTCAATACATGTTGCCATTAGTATGGTTTGAGCAAATGGTAGGTGCTGAACCTAAAAAAAAAAAAAAAAAAGACAGGAACCAGATCATTAAGGGGCTTAGGTCTTAAGCTAAAGAGTTTGTTTACCATGAAAGCTATGAAAATCATTGTAGGTCAAGGCACGATGTGATCAGATTTGAATTTTAGAGAGGGTCCTGTGGAAGAGGGTCTGACAGGGGCCTTCGGCATTTAAAAAGCTACAGCACAATCCAAACAGGATGTGGTAAGGGCCTGACCTAAAGCAGGAGCCATGACAACTAGGGGCTGAGGAGCTGGGGCTTATAAATGTTAAGCAGGTATAATCCGTAGGGATTGGAGAAATGTATGTAGGGATCATGAAAAGTGAACGGGAGGGGCGCCTGCGTGGCTCAGTTGGTTAAGCGACTGCCTTCGGCTCAGGTCATGATCCTGGAGTCCCGGGATCGAGTCCCGCATCGGGCTCCCTGCTCAGCGGGGAGTCTGCCTCTCCCTCTGACTCTCCCCCTCTCATGCTCTATCACTATCTCTCTCAATAAATAAATAAAAATCTTAAAAAAAAAAAAAGAAAAGTGAATGGGAAACATGTTAGGATGAATCTCTGATTTCTGGACTGGGTAGCTGAGTGAATGATGGGGACACTCATCGAGATGCAAAGTTGTTGGGTGTCTAGAATAGTGCCTGGAGTCATTCCTAGCCCAGCACTTATAACAGTTCCCAGCATGGGTAGATATGTTGACAGAAGAGATGAGAATAATTTCACTGGAACAATGAGGTAAGTAGGAGCTAGTCTGCACTGGGTTGATAAAAGGAATGACAGTGGTGTGAACAAGGGCAGTGTGTTCTTTCCAGAAGCCTGGCTGAGAGAAGAAAAGGGAGAGACAAGAGCTAGAAGATAATACGTGCTAAGGGAGAGGTTTTTCTCAAGATGTCAGACCAAAGGATGTTTGGAAGGAAAAGTCAGTAAAGAAGTTAGATGTAGGAGAGGGGGTGACAGAGCAGGATCCTGGGATGGCAAAAGGGTGGTACCAAAACACAGATGTAGGCTGAGCTGTTGGTAGCAGGGTATGTGTACAGATGCAAATATGTTTATTGGTATAAGGAAGCTGAAAGATCCCCTCCCCACTTCTTCTCAATGAATGCCCCCTACATTTACTAAGTGGTATCACCCAACATTTGAGGGGGGAGTAGAAACTTGGGGCTAGTAGACGGGGGCAATGGAAGAAGGCACTGAGGGATGTTGACTGATAGGCACTGTGAGAGCCCCCGGTGTCATTTTTCTCTAGCTGTACTCAACTGCTGTGCTAGGGTTACAAGCATTGATTCAGAGCTGGTCCCTGTTGGTATCTGGCAGGTGGGATGGAGGAACCTGATTTTACAACAGCTCTAAGGGTTGAGGTTGGAGACTATTTGGAGTAATGAACCAATGGCAATAATGAGGATGTTGATGAGAGTAATAACAGCAATATCAAAATAGAAGATGTAAGCTCCCAGTACTTTGACTCAGTTTTGGTTAAAACCATAGTTAAAAATCATGTCAAAAGCAATAATAAAATTAATTAATTAATTTATTTATTTTTAAAGATTTTATTTATTTATTTGACAGAGAGAGACACAGCAAGAGAGGCAAGAGAGGGAATACAAGCAGGGGGAACGGGAGAGGGAGAAGCAGGCTTCCCGAGGAGCAGGGAGCCCGATGCGGGGCTCGATCCCAGGACCCTGGGATCATGACCTGAGCTGAAGGCAGATGCTTAATGACTGAGCCACCCAGGCGCCCTTGCAATAATAAAATTTAATTAGAAGCCTTGGCAGGAAAGAATTTTATTGATACTGATTCAAGTACCTTTGAGGATACAAAGCTCAGAGGTAGTCATCACTGGAAAGTTGAGAGAGAAAATTAAAGAACAATTACAAGTAAGTCGTCAAGTCACACACACACACACACAGCATCAGCCAGGTAGGACAGTTTTAAGTCAGATATCTACCTATTCCGTATTTCTTCTTCCTGAAATTGAGTTTCTCACAGGTCTATTTGCTGTGATAAGTTGCTTTTTAAATGGAGATATACTAAAAGAATGTAACAGTTAACCTCAAACATAGGATTACCCCGAAGCCTGTTTTTCATGTTTGTTGTGAGGCACTAAATTTACTCACTATATGTTTGTATAGAAAACTGCATGTTAGAATGGTTAAGAAATTCATCTGGGTTATAATAATCATGATCCGAGTCAGCACCTGAGTATATAATTCACCATCTTTGACCTCATTAACTTTGTGATGTAACTCTGTCACTTTGTGAGTAGCATCAATTCACTTGCTTTTTAGAGAGCACCACACTTCCTTGTCTTTGCTTTCTCCTGTCATGGTTATGTGACCAAAATAATCTCATGACTTTAAAACACAATGCAAACCATGTTTTGTTGTTAACAACAATGAACATTTATTGAGCTCTTTCTAAATGCCTGACAGTATGCTAATCACCTTCACATATATTATTTTACCTGGTCCTCACATCAGCCCTGTGAGGTAGGTAAGCAGTTTCCCTTACACAACACACCAGTAACAAACTCTATTACAAAGAGCTGTTTGGCTTGGAGAAGTCAAAATGTCTTTCACTTTTTGGGGGGAAAAAGACATCCACAACTACCTTCAAATATGAGTGGATTCTTTATGGTAGAGTGATCAGCTTGGGTCACGGCACCAAGGGGTAAGGAACCAAGGGTAGAAATTACAAGGAGAATGTTCAAGATGAAACAGATTTTTCTAAATATAATGTGATGCTGGAAAAAGAATTCAAGCACTGGATCGGAGGTGAAACAGACAGCCGCCGAGGGTTATCTATGAACCTCCTCTGTATTTTCCACTTCTTTCATATATTGGCGCATTCACTCTTTTTTCCCATTCAACAAACATTTACTGGCTTGTCCAATATGGTAGCCACTGGCTATTTAAATTTGGCTAAACTTAAATAACATAAAAAATTTGAGTCCCAAATGCACTAACCACATTTTAAGTGCTCAAAACTATATGTGGCTAGTAGCTACCACATGTTTTTTTGAGATCTGACATTTAATTAGTTTCAGGAGTACAACATCATCAATCAATAGGGCTACCATATTCGACAGTTCTGGGAAATGCTATCTCAGACGGCTGACATAGTGACAGTAACCACAAGAATGAAAAATCTTGAGTTCTTGACATTGAGGAACTTATAACCTAGGGGAGAAAAAAATCCACCCAATATTATTTTTTACGAGCTAAACTGAACTCTTGCTGGAAATCGGGCAGTTTGCTAAGCACTTTCTGTGACTATTTAGCTGCAATGCTCCTAACACCATAAAATAGATGTCATTATGCTCACTTTACACTTTAAATTTAAAGGTCAATAACTTGCCCAATATATGTGAAGAGTACTGTAAGGCCTCATGACCAAGAGTATGTGTAGGGCCACGAAAGAAGTTGAGCTAAACTCCATTTGGGGATTTTAAGGAAGATCAGAAGTGGAGAAGGATTAAAACCCAAATCTGTATAGACCATGTTTACTCAACACGTGGGCTATAGACTTAACTACATCGGAATTACTTAGGATGCACGTTAAGAGTGTAGATTCCCTGCACCTGATTATGGGATCTGTGGGCAGGAACCAAGCTCCTCATCTCTGCTCCCGCGATTCTTTACTGTTCATTAAGTGAGGTTTGAGAGCCGCTGTCCCCCTTTGTTCCGCTTTCTCCTGGGTCTCCTGGTGGGAGACCCCGCTGCGTAATCTCGGACAAAAGTCTCGGAGCCTCAGTTTCCCCGTCCGTGAAATGGAGATCCCCGCGGGCCTGCGGCGCGGCTACCAAGGAGGCCACGTACGTCAGGCGCCTGGCACACAGTAGGCGCCCAGAAAACGCGGCCCCCCGCCTGGCGAGTCCCGCCCCTCTCTGCCGGCCCGGGCTGCCTACCCTGGCAGATCTGCTCCCACAGGTTCTTGCCCGGAGGCTCCACGCCCTGTCCTGGCGAGACGGGTAGCTCGGGGGACACGGTGGACACGATGGGCACTGGCGTCCGGACAGTGTCCGACGACTCTGCGGAGCGGGCCGCCTCCTCGCGCTGGGCGGTGCGACTACTTGCCGGACCCGGTGCCGCCATGGCCGCGGTTTCCACAGCAACCGCCCTCCCGGCGAGGCTATGACCCGGAAAGAGCCGAATTCCAGGAGGCGGGCCAGCGACTCGAGATTAACTTCCGGGTCGCGGTAGAGCTGGCTTTCACGTGGAGGCGGGGAAGGTTGGCCTACGGGTGAGTGCTGAAGAGCGGCGCTGGCGGGGCGCCGCGGGCTGTGGAGATTGCGCCTGGGGACTTGCGCGGCGAACTGAGGGGGAAGTGGGTGGCCTGTACCCCAAATCCACACATTCCCCCCACCCCAGTCGCATGTATGTGCTCGCTCTGGCCTGGAAGTTCTCCCGCCTTGGAGCGGGGCCGGGATTCCGTGTAATCCCTCCCTGTGTGTTTGTGCGGAAGCTTTGGCGCGGCGGAGCCTTTGAGGGACCGTTCTCGCCTCCTGGGTCCCTTGCTTCCTGCTCGTGAACCTGCGGCGGCAGTGAGGTGTTAGTTCCATTGTGCAGAGCGCGGGCTCCGCCGTCCTGCGGGCTGGGTTCGAGTCCTTTTTGCCACTTGCTGGCTTTAGGACCCAGGACAAGTAAATTCAAGGCTCGAAGCCTCAGCGAGTCTGAGATGGGGTCTTCACACCGGTCCTCACGAGACTACCGCGAGATTTTAAAAGCGCTTTTGGAGAAAGTGTTTGCTTTGGCTGGAGACGCACTGTAAGATTCTTTCCTCTTCTTGGAGCGAATATATCTGGGGTCGCAGGGTTAAGAAGAGGATCTTCAGTGCTAAAGAGGGAGGAAGCTACAGTGATTACGAACGGCCGAAAGGGGATTAAATTGACTACAGTCTCCCTTTAACTTCTTTGTTCTGATCAGATCGCTTGACCACTCCCGCCACTTGGCTCTCTCGACTGCACCCTCTCCAGGTTTGCACCTTCTCGCCTGCCTTTGCAGGTCGCTCTTCCTCTGTTCTCCGGTTTCCCTGAGGTCTTGTCTTAGGCTCATTCTGTTTGAGACTTAGTTACTATCCATATATTTACAAGTGTTTTTTGTTTTGTTTTACCCATGTCAGCCCAGTCACCCGTGAGCCTCAGACCCACATATCCACCTGTCTACCGAATATCCTCCTGTCCAGTTGGATAGCTCAAGACATCTATGTAAACCAGCCTGTCTCCTGCAGCCCCTAACTACCCGCCTTAAGTTCCTTTTTTTCAGGGATTAACACCACCATCCTGCAGTTGCCTAAGCTGGAAACCTCTGTTCTAGAAACTTTCCAGACAACTGGTAGGCCAGATTAGATGAACTTCATTACTCTGACATCACCACTAGCCTTGCTTTTATCACTATATTTTCATTATCACACCTCTTTTCCTTCTACACCTGCTCCTTGATAGCAGGTGGTTTGTCTTGTTCATCTCTGTATCTCTGATCGCTTCTCGGCCTTTTGGCTAAGATCAAGTGTAGTATCTCTGTATCTCTGGCATTCATTAATTCATTGAGTATTTATTGAACACCCGCTGTGTGTGTTCTTCTCCCCGGACTGTCCGGACGCCAGTGCCCATCGTGTCAGGTACAGAGCTAGGCTTTGGGAATACAGCAGAAAACAGGACAAGAGTGAATTGAGAGGATGTACTCTTGACTTTCCAGGTGCTCCTGGCATGAGTTATAAATGAACTTGAGCCATGGCTTAGTCCTGGCCTGGCTCTTTGAAGCTGCTAATGGTGAGCCAGGTCCATTGTGGTTCCCCAGGGCTCTGAGGCTGAAGCGAGCTTCAGGATGGAGAAGCTCCTGACCTTTCCCTCCCACTGTTCAAACCTTCTGCGAGGGGGGTATTTTGTTTCTGGATTCCCTGGGTGTCTCCATGTCACCTAGTCCAGGGAGCAGCAGCAGCTTGGGTGGTGACTGGAGAGAAGTGGCCCAGCTGGAAGCTCAAATGTACTTGAGGGCACCAGCCCCTTCCCACAGTTGCCTACATGCCAAAAGCTGGGCATTCTAGGTTGCTCTGTGTCATCTTCAATTGTTATATGTTGGTAATTAATTTGAAAATTTAGAAACAGTGAAGCAAGCAGGGGTGTGGCCCCCAACACCTCCCCCTCTCCCTGGCAGTGTTTGATCTGGTTCCATAAAGTATGGATGGGGAAACTGAGGCCCAGAGAAACCAACACTATGCAGCAAGAGGGCGTCAGTCACCATTTGAACCTAGGTCTTGTCAGTCCTAGCTGGGGCTTCTTTCATCATATCTTGTTGCTATTCTTATTACTAGTAATGCCACGTGGGAAGGTAATTAGGAGGGTAAGTCATCCAGGTTGCAGGTGGGGGGAATTAATTTCCAGACAGAAAGGAAAAGAGCTACTTAGATGAACCAAGATAAGGGGTTAATTGTGCCATAGTTATTGCATCTGGTGGGAATCAGCAGGAAGAGTTGACCTCAGGATTTCTTTCCCCTTCATTCAGTGAAAGTAAGCCCCTGAGGACAGCACCTGGTCTGTCTGATTAGATTGCAGATGAATCCTCAGTGGCTGGCAAAGGGTAGGCAGTGGGTAAATTTGTTGAATGGGTCACTAGGCTCAGAGATTTAAGGAAGGGGGTGGGAAAGGGAATCACTTTCCACGGATTATTGTGTATTTTTTCCAATAGCCCTTTGAGAAGGAATTGTTATTTCCCCCCATTTTCCAGATGGGGAAATTAATGTTCAGGGAGGGAGGCTAGGTGACTAGGGCTTAAGTTAGTGAAGGGAGCAGTTTGAATTTGAACCTGGCGTTAATCTGAATTTAAATTCCATTCTACTTCTTTAATCACATTTTCCTTTGTTCCAAAGGAGTCACGCGCCTTTTCCCATCCCCTAACATTTCAGACTAGCCACTCAGAAATGTGGCTCTTGGCACTAACTAGCCGAATTGTACATGGAGTGGTTTGGTATGGAGATAACTTGTACCATTTCTCTTTTCAGGGATGATCACCAAAACCTACAAAGGAGACCTGGGCCTTGGGGTCCCAGAGAAAAAGAAGAAGAAGAAGAAGGTAGTCAAAGAACCAGAGACTCAGTACTCAGTTTTAAACAGTGATAATTATTTCACTGATATCTGTCCCACAAGAGCCACATCCCCCTCAAAGAATGTGGTCCTAGGGCAGGCATCTGAGATCCCTCTAGTGAAGAAAAAGAAGAAAAAGAAGGGCCACAGCACCCTCTGCGAGGAGCACCTAGAACCTGAGACCATATTACGTGCTGGACGGACAGAGAAGTTGTACAGCCCCAGGAAGCAGGCTCTTGGTTCATCTGAGTTCCAGAGTGGGGAGAAGAAAAAAAAGAGGAAGTCCTTAAGGCCTCTGGCCGTGTCTTCTGGCTCAAAAGTGAAGACCTCCCCGGACACAAGACAGGGCGAGGAGGTGACCAGAGTTGGCAAGAAGCCCAAAAAACACAAGAAGGAGAAAAAGGCCCAGGAGGCTGCAGCCTTCTCAGCCAAGGACCCTTGGTTCTGTGAGTCTGGGGATACACTGTACACTTGCTCAGTGGAGAAGGATGGCGAGGAGCAGGCAGCCTCAGGGCAGAAACGGAAGCAGGGGAGCCCCAGGGAATGCAACGTGAAGATGAAGAAGAAAAAGAAAATCTACCAGAAGAGAGATACCTCCCTAGAAGAGCATCTTGAGTGCTCCAAGTCTGTGGAGAGCAGCTCTAGAAAAGGAAGTAAGAAGCCAGTCAAAGTTGAGGCTCCAGAATACATCTCAATAGGACATAACCCCAAGTCCCCTGCAAAGAAGAAAATGAAGTCCAAGAAAAAGGTAGAGCAGCCAGGCATTGAGGAGCCAGCTCTGAAGAGGAATAAAAAGAAGAAGGGGAAAGAGAGCAGAGTAGCAGAAGAACCTTGGGAAGAGGTAGGCATTTCTTCAGAATTAGACTCTGCTTTGGGAGAATAAGGGTGGAAGTTGGGTGTGTGTGTGTTTCTCATATTTGTAGCTGCCAGAACCCTGATAAACTGATTTCAGCCAGAAAAGGGATTTGTTGAGACCTGTAACTGGAAAGGTTAAAAGCTATTTAACTTCAGGTATGGCTGGATCCAGGTGCTCATGGAATATCCTCAATAGTAAAGGTATCCCTTGTTATTGAAACTCTACCCAAGTCCTCACTATCTTCAGTCAAGATCTAAATAAATTGGAATAAAATTTTTAGATGAATCTCCCTTTCTGAACTCTTGCCTTTTGCTGTCCAAAACTCAGGAACCAAATAGTTTGAGATAACATGGTCTGTGGCTATCTGAGCTTATTTTCTGTGCTCAGTATACATGATTTAGATTTCAAATAGATTTGGATTGCAGGAGATGCCCATGTGGCTTTCCCCAGCTCTGGGCTTCGTCGGTTTTGGTTCCAGACAGGCACCTCCCACCTCACAGTAAGATGGTCTCAGAAGCTCCAGGATTTCATCCTAATAATTAGGCTGCCCCCAAAGGGAGAGAGAGAGCCCTTCCGAAACGATTACAGAAGTCGTCTTAGAGCTGCTCTCACAGGCCTCAATTGGATCACACAAGCCAGAATTCCTGATCCTAAGGCGGGGGGCGGGGGGGGAAGGGGCCTAGGGTATCAGTCCCACCTGAACCCCACTGTCTTGAGGTCGGGAGGAAAAGACAGTTTCTGGGAGGAAAACCCAGTCCTAATTCCCAGGAGGAAGGGAATGGTTGATGGTCTGGTGAAGACAACAGATCCACTGTCTCCCTCCTGACAAGCCTCCTTGAGTGGGGGAGGGAAGGGAGGAGATGAGCCAGAACACTTGGACTACATAGGCCCATATCCTCCCCTGTCTGTGCCAGGGCCACACCTCCATTCCTGTCTTTGGGGTATGTATGTGCGTGTGCAGGGGTTTAGATGGTACATGTCCTACTCCAAGCAGATGTCTGGCCTGTTGGGGTAGTGATGGCTGGAATTTTTTGAACACTTACCGTATGCCTGGCACTAAGCTAATGCTCCCCATGTATTAACCCGTTTAATCCTCACATCAGTCTGGTCAGTTAGCTGCTGTGGTCATCCTCATTTGACAGACAAGAAAACATACTCAGAGGAGTTAAATACCTTGATCAAGATCACCCGCCTGTTACAGTGTGGGGCTGGGTTTTAAACCCAATCTGGCTTCTGAACTTGAGGTTTCATCCTTTCTCAGAAGCTGCCCTGTAACTTCTCATAGATGCCAGTATCATTAGAGCCTAAGAAGTGACTGTCTTATATTGGAACAAGCCCTGGATTCTCTTCCCAGTTCTGCACCGACAAGCTCGGTGAGCTCAGACCAGCCACTGCCCCATGGTCCTCAAGTAAGGATGATGGCTAATGTGTATTGAGCACTTACTGGAGGATGGCCCTGGCATTGGAGGGGCTCAGTTAATACTGACTGATGGATGAGCTCCCTGGAGCAGGGTCATCAGGAAGGTGTCTTTGTGGCTCGAGCTCAGCTTGGCCAGGCAGGGTTGAGGAGGGCAAAGGTGGCCTCCATAATCAGGGCGTTCTGGTTTCTGGATTTTTCCCAGTTTTGCCCTAGTCCATTAGATTTGGTTTTACTGGTCTCTTTTATTCAGAAGCTCTTAGGGCCAAGAAGAACTCAGAGGTGGGAGCCTAACCCCCATCAGAATCTAGAATCCCTTCTCTCCGGAGTCCAGTGGAAGGTGGTCAGTCCCCTCTGTTTAACATCTCCTGCGATGGGGACTCTGCTGCCTAGGACAGCCCACTGAGTCAGGAAATGCACACATCTTCAAGGTCAGGATAGGTGATGTGCATGAACAGAGCTCTTTAGGGATCATCACACGTGATGCTGGGTGCCAGGCAGAGCACACCTACAGTAAGGATGCAGGAAATGTGGCAGTTGTCATTACCAAAGGACCAGGGAAAGTGGCTGGCCTGAGGTCTCACTTTCAGAGGGTCCCATGGGGGCTGAGGCCAGTGAGAGAGTGTTGCACGTGTACACATGCCCAGGGCAGGCCCAGTGAGGACACCACATGGAAGCAGAGACCTGTGAGGGGTGTCTGCCGTTGGTCATGCAGAGGGAACAGCAAGCGCAGAGGCCCTGGAAGGAACGAAGACGGGGTAGTGGGAGCTGGAAGTTTAGGGGGCCAAGTGCTAGAGACCAGAGAGGCCACGGGAGCCTAGATTTTTGTGTAAACAAGATGAGAGCCTTTGGAGGGTTTGGGGGAGTGGAGTGATGTGATCCAGTGGAGTTACTAAAGATTTTTTTTTTAAGATTTATTAGAGAAAGCATGCGCACACACAAGTGGGAGGGGCGAGGGGGAGGGAGAAAGAATCTCAAGCAGACTGTGCCAAGTACAGAGCCTGATGTGGGGCTCAATCTGAGGACCCTGAGATCTGGACCTGAGCTGAAACCAAGAGTCGGATGCTTAATCTGCGCCACCCAGGTGCCCCTTAAATTTTTACTTTTTAGATTGGGATACGGTAGACATATAACATGGTACAAGTTTAAGGTGTATATATAACATGTTCCACTTGAGGGTTTTTTTTTTTTTTTTTTTTTTAAGTATTAGAGAGCATGTGTGCACACTAGCAAGCAGGCGGTGGGGCGGGGAGAGGAGCAGAGGGAGGACAAGCAGACTGTGCTGAGCGCGGAGCCCAGTGCAGGGCTTCATCCCACAACCCTGAGATCATGACCTGAGCCGAAATCAGGAGTTGGACGCTTAACTGACTGAGCCGCCCAGGCGCCCCAAGGTTTTATTTTTAAGTAATCTCTATACCCAATGTGGGGCTCGAACCTACAACCCCAAGATCAAGAGTCTCATGCTCTGCTGACTGAGATGGCCAGGTGCCCCTCCAGTTGAGGTTTTAAAGCTCACCTGAGCTGCTGTGCTCAGGTGGGTGAAGAAGCAGGTGTTAAAGACTTGTGGTTGTCCAAACAGGAGAGAAGGCAGTGACTAGGAGTGGGTTGGGGGCACTCTTGAGGAGAGAACTGGGTTTGGGTTTGCTGGCAGGGTCTCCCTCCCCACCCCCCAATCAGGGCCCCGAGCCCACCTGTCCCTTGCTAGTTTCCCTCCCACCATCAGCAGGACCCTTGGCCTCGCTCCTCTTACTGGTTTGGTGCCATGGGAGGTAAGATGATGTCTATGTGGCAGGAAAGGTGCACCAAGCCTAAGTCAGGAGACCCGCATTAGTGTCATCCCTGTCCCTGAGCTGTGGGGGTGACTTCATGATGGTCGCTTCGCCTCTCTAAGCCTTAGTTTCTTCACATGTCAGAAAGGTCAGTGCCATTGTTTTGAGGGGAGAATTGGTGAGAATTGTTCCACGATTCCACAAGAGGACGTCAGAAGTTCTGTAAGTGGCAGGGGTTGAGGTGGTGCTGCGGTCTTTGGTCTTTTCTGGACTCTCGTGATCTCATCTGCTGAGCTGCTGGGGCAGAGGCCATCCTATGCTTGACTTTTACTCCCTTTGCCCTTTTGTGCAGGAGCCTGACACAGACTTAGAGGTGGTGTTGGAAAAGAAAGGCAACATGGATGAGGCGCACATAGACCAGGTACGGCCCAGGTCCTCACCCCCCTTCCATGTGTCTTGCCATCTGCCAGGCACACATTTGTCTCCTACAAGGCAACAAGATCCTGGTCCCAGAGGTGTCAGGGACCCCAAAAGCCACCAGCCAGCCTCTGGCACACTTCCAGTGGTAGGAACTTGGGGCCTCCCCCACTTCATGCTGGGAGACCCCTTCACTACCACAGCTCTGACTGAGGGGCCATCTGTTCATTCAGAGTCCCAGGGCGAGGCTTTCCTCCTTGTAATTGCTGCAGGGAGAGACGGGAGTGTGACCCCAGGAACTGTAACCAGGACAGGGAGCATGTGCTCAGCCAGGCCCATGCATTGCCGTCTCCTGGCCTCGATTCAGGAGTGTTTAGAGAAGTTACTCTGTTGTGGATCTGCTTCTGCCTCTGCCGTGCCCCAGATCCGTAGGTAGACACATCCTTTCACTGGAGCGTGGCTTTCTGGAATCGGGGTGTATGTATGGTCCTGAACCAAATGAGGCCTGGCAGGACGGGGTGGTAACAGCATAGGCATGGCTTTGGGCCGTTACTAACGAGGTGACTTTGGGCAGTCACTAACCTCACTGACCCTCCTTAGGTGGCTGCGAAGACCAAACGAGGTCGTGTTTGTGCGGCACTCAGCAGGGACCTGTCTGATATTTCAGCTTAAGAAGTGGCAGCCATTACCCTGACCACATCCTCTTGCTTTGTCAGCAAGTAATTGCTGGAGAGAAGCAACAGGGTGTGATACAGAGATGACCCTGTCCCTTGGCCCTTCTCCAGGAGAGAAGGAAACCAGAAAGTACTAGCAAATGAGCGGAGTGTGAGGAGGCCTGTAAGATGCCACAGAAGTTCCAAATCTAATGCCTTTGGGGCACTGGGGAACTCTTCCTGGAGGCGGCACATCGAAGTGGGGCCGAGAATATCCGTGAGGTGATGCTGACTACTGGGAGCTCCCTAGCCTTTGGGTCATAGTCGCACTGCTCCCCAGAGTCAGGGCCAACGGTAATGAGCTGGGCAGCTGCACAGAGAGGACACAGGTGGGGCCCTGACCTGTCTAGGACCTTCCATCAGTTCCTTTCCCAGGTGTCCTCCGCCACTCAGGATGCAGCAAGTTGCTGGAACTCAGTCCCCGTGCCTGTGAACTTCCTATGGGCAAGGCTCGCCAACAACCCTTTACTTCTTTTTTGTGCCTGCTGAGTACTTTGATTACTTGACAGTTTTTAAGAAAACCTTTAACCATTTTGGGTGACACATTACCTCAGTGTAAGTGAAGCTTTCTGTTTGACCTCTCCTGTTTTCCCCATAAGTGCTAAAAGTTTACTTTGTTAAAAAATTGCAACCTGAAAACAAAGGCAACCTGAAATCCTACCATCTAATAATGATCATTGTTAGCCCTTTAGTTATATTGTTCCAGATTTTTCCTTTGTAACTATATATGTGTAATTTTAAAGCACTGTGCAATCATGCTCTGTATACTCTTCTTTTAACTTTTGTCATTTAACTGTTGATTGCTTTTCATTTTGGTATATGTACATCTGTATCATTCCACACATGGAGCATGGTTCCACTATAGGAATATATCATTTTCTCATTTTTACGGCTGTCACTTTGTTTTATGTAGTTTTAAACTTACATAAATGGTCACCTTGACTCTATAAATGGTCACCTTGACTCGTAGCCTGTGGGAGATTATAAGGGAGGAGGGGGGACACCTAGGTGGCTCAGTCGGTTGAGCGTCCAATTCTTGATTTCGGCTCAAGTCATGATCTCAGTCATGAGATTGAGCTCCATGTTGGGCTCTATGCTGGGTGTGGAAGCTGCTTGAGATTCTTTCTCCCTCTCCCGCCTCCATCGCCACCACCCCAAACTCATACATGCACATGCGCTCGCTCTCACTGCCCCCCAAAAAAAAGGGAGCAGAAGAAAGGCCACAAATTGGGACAGCTGAAGTTATACCTAATCCTTAGAAGGGAGGACAAGGCCCTGGAAGCTTTTTTTTGTAATTGAAGTGTGGTTGACATACAATGTTACAGTAGTTTCAGATGTACAACCTAATGATTCAGTAATTACGTATTTTATGAAATGCTCACCACAGTAAGTGTAGTTACCATCTGTCACCATACAAAGCTTTTACAATATTACTATGTTCCCTGTGCTGTACTTTACATGCCTGTGACTTATTTATAACTAGAAGTTTGTACCTCTCAATCTCTTTCACCTATTTGAGCCCATCTGCCTATACCCCTCCATCTCTCAACCACTAGTTTTCTGTTTTTATGAGTCATTTCTGTTTTGTTTGTTCTTTTTTCTGTCTCAGTGATTTCACTTAGCATAATACACTGTAGGTCCATCCATGTTGTTGCAAATGGCAAGAGTTCATTCTTTTTCATGACTGAGTAATATTCCACTGTGTTGGGTGCCATGTGTGTACGTGTACATATGTGTACACATACCACATCTTTTTGCATTCATCTATCAGTGAACACTTAGGATGCATCCATATGTTGGCTATTGTAAATAATGGGATAAACATAGGGGTACATATATCTTTTCAAATTAGTGTTTTCCTTTTCTTTGGGTAAATACCCGAAGTAGAATTACCGGCTTATATGGCATTTCAGTTTTTAAATTTTTGAGGAAATTCCATGCTGTTTTTTAGAGTGGTTGTACCAATTTACATTCACACTAACCATGTACAAGAGTTGCCTTTTCTCTGCATCCTTGCCAACACTTGGTATTTCCTGTCTTTTTGATACTAGCCATTCTGACTGGTGTAATGTGATAGCTCATTGTGGTTTTGATTTGCATTTTCCTGATGGTTAATGATGTTGAACATCTGTTCATGTGTCTGTTGGCCATTTGTATGTCTTCAGAACAGTGTCTATTCAGGTCCTCTGCCCTTTTATTTATTTATTTATTTTTGGTATTGTATGAGTTCTTTATATATTTTGAATATTAGCCCCTTATTGAATATATTATTTGCAAATAAGTTGATCCTTGAACAACATGGGTTTGAATTGCACAAGTACATGAATACATGGATTTTTTTTGATACAGTATGTAAATGCATTTTTTCTTCCTTACGATTTTAACACCTTTAGCTTTATTGTAAGAATACAGTATGTAATATGTATAACTTACAAAATCTGTGTTAATCAACTGTTTATATTATTGGTAAGGCTTCAAGTTAACAGTAGGCTACTAATAGATAAATTTTGGGGGAGTCAGAAATTACATGTGGATTTTCAACTGTGCAGGGAATCTGTGCCCTCACCCCTACTTGTTCAAGGGTCAACTGTATCATCTCCCATTCAGAGGTTGCCTTTTCTTTTGTTATGATTTCCTTCACTGTGCAGAAGCTTTTTAGTTTGATGTAGTCCAAATTGTTTTTTTAATTGCCCTTGCCTGAGGAGACAAATCCAGAAAAACATTGCTAAAACTGATGTCCAAGTGTTTATTGCCTATGTGTTTTGTTTTTGTTTTTTTTAAGATTCTATTTATTTATTTGAGAGAGAGAGCATGAGATGGGAGAGGGTCAGGGGCAAGCAGGCTCCCCGCCGAGCAGGGAGCCCAATGTGGGTCTTGATCCCGAGACTCTGGGATCATGACCGAAGGCAGTTGCCCAACCACAGCCACCCAGGCGCCAGCCTATGTTTTTTTTTTTTAAGGTGTTATTTTATTTGAGAGAGAATGAGCAGGGGGAGGGGCAGAGGGAGAGGGAGAAGCAGGCTGCCCACTGAGCAGGGAGCACTATGGGGGCCTAATCCCAGGACCCTGGGATCATGACCTGAGCCGAAGGCAGACACTTAACTGACTGAGCCACCCAGGTGCACCGCCTATGTTTTCTTTTAGGGCTCCTGTGGTTTCAGGTCTCACATTTAAGTCTTGAATTCTTTTTGAGTTTATTTTTGTGTATGGTATAAGCAAGTGGACCAGTTCCATCCTTTTGGTATAGCTGTCCAGTTTTCCCAACACCATTTATTAGAGACCATCTTTCCCCCATTGTATATTCTTGGATCCTTTGTCCATAGATTAATTGACCACATAAATGTGGGGTTTTTTTTCTGGGCTCTGTGTTTTCTTCTATCAATCTGTGTGTCTGCTTCTGTGGCAGTACCATTCTGTTTTGATTACTGTTGCTTTGTAGTATAGTTTGAAATTTGGGATTGTGCTACCCCCAGCTTTGTTTTCCTCAAGATTGCTTTGGCTATTCAGAGTCTTGTGGTTCCATACAAACTTTAGGATTGTTAGTTCCAGTTCTATAGAAAATGCTATTGGTATTTTGATAGGGATTGCATTGAACCTGTAGATTGCTTTGGGTAGTATGGACATTTTAACAATATTAATTCTTCCAATCCATGAGCATGGTATATCTTTCCATTTATTTATGTGATCTTCAGTTTCTTTCATCAGTGTCTTATAGTTTTCAGAGTATACCTCTTTTGCCTATTTATTCCTAAGTATTTTATTCTTTTTGATGCAGTTGTAAATGGGAGTGTTTTCCTTTTTTTAAGACAGAGATAGCGAATGGGGGGTGGGTGGGTAAAGGGAGAAAGAGAATCTTAAGCAGGAGATCTCACGACCCTGAGATCATGTTAAGAGTCAGACGCTTAACCAGCTGAGCCACCCAAGTGCCCCCAGGGGTATTTTTTTAATTTCTCTTTTTGATAGGTTGTTATTAGTGTATAGAAATGCAACAGATTTTTTTTTTTTAAGATTTTATTTATTTATTTGACAGATAGTGAGAGCAGGAACACAAGCAAGGGGAGTGGGAGAGGGAGAAGCAGGCTTCCCGCAGAGCAGGGAGCCTGATGTGGGACTCGATCCCAGGACCCTGGGATCATGTGACCTGAGCCGGAGGCAGATGCTTAACAACTGAGCCACCCAGGCACCCTGCAACAGATTCTTATATATTGATTTTGTATCCTGCAGCTTTTACTGAATTCATTTATTAGTTGTAATAGTTTTTTGGTGGAGTCTTTAGGGTTTTCTATACAGAGTATCATGCCATCTGCAGGTAGTGACAGTTTTCTTTCTTTCCAATTTGGATCCCTTTTCTTTTTCTTGTCTCTTGTGGCAGACACTTCAATACTGTGTTGAATAAAAGTGATGAGAGTAGATATTTTTGTTTTGTTTCTCATCTTAGAGAAAAAGTTCGCAGCTTTTCACCATTTAGTATGATATTAACTTTGGGTTTATCATTTATGGCCTTTTATGTTGAGGTATGTTCCCTCTGTACCCACTTTGTTGACAGTTGTTACCATGAATTGATGATGAATTTTGTCAAATGCTTTTTCTGCATGTATTGAGATGAGTATTTTTATTCATTTTGTTGATGTTGATTTACAGATATTAAACCATCCTTGCTTCCCTGAGATAAATCCTACTTGATCATGGTGAATGATCCTTTTAATGCTGAATTCAGTTTGCTAACATTTTGTTGAGGACTTTTGCATCTATGTTCATCAGGGATATTGGTCCTGGAAGCTTTTATATCAAACAGCAGGGTCATTAGTCCACTGATGGTGGCCTTGAGCCATGCTGGCAACATTGTATAAGATGTACCTACTGTGGACCAGGCACTTTGTTAGGTTCTTACATTCTGCACCCAACAATTTCATGTGGGGTAGGGGGTTCTCCCACCCCAGCAATACTTGGCCACCAACTGGGTGGCCTACCATTCAGCTCAGTTCTGACACTGTATATCTGGAGATCGTGTCACATCCCACAGGTTAAGGACTCAGTCCCACCAGACTGCTCCCCACCCATGCCCCAGTTCAGATGCCAGTTACAAGCTGGATTGTCACCTGTGCTTCTTACCAGGCTGTTATAGATGGGAGGTTCTGATAACCCCCTCCTTGGGTTTTATTAATTTGCTAGAGCAGTTCACAAAACTCAGAGAAACCTTTTACTTACAAGATTGTTGTTTATAATAAAAGGATATAAATCAGGAAGAGCCGGATGGTGGTGATACATAGGGCAAGGTATGGGGAACTGCACTGAACTTGCGTGCCCTCTCCAAGCATACCACTGTCCCCAAATCTCCATGTTTTCACCAACCCTGAAGCTCTCTGAACACCCCCCTCTTTTGGGGGTTTTATGGAGGCTTCATTACATAGGCACGATTGATTAAATCATTGGCCATTTGGTGATTGATTCACCCTTCAGCCCCTCTTCCTTCCTTGGGGGTTGGAGATGGGACTGAAAATTCCAAACCTCTAGTCACAGGGTTGGTTCACCTGGCAACCAGCCCCTATTCTTAGGTTCTTTCAGGCATTCACCTCATTAGCATAACAAAACATGTTATGAGGCATTCACCTCATAACATAACATTAACAAAACAACTTGATGACTCCTTGCTTTGGAAATCCCAAGGGGTTTAGGAGTTTTGTGCAGAAACTGGATGAAGACCAAATATGTATTTATTATGAATCCGATCACAATTCTGTTTCTCCCATTTATCCTCCAAGGTAGCTGATATTTCTACTTGCAGATAAATGGAAGTACACAAAGGTTAAGTGACTTACGCAAGGCCACACTAGTTAATGGCAGAGCTAAGATTCAAACTAACCTGTGCCTGACTTCAGTGCTATTTCTAGAAAACAGTGCTGTCCCGAAAGTTAACTACAGTATCTTCTGTACAGGAAGGCAGGGCTTCAGGCAGTACGCTTTGGGAAGTTTCTACCCAGTATGGCTATTACAGACAAAAAAGGTTCTAGTGCTGAAAGTGGATAAGGCTCAGTTTGTAGGAAAGTTCATTCTTTTTTTTTTTTTTTTTTTTTTTTATTCATGAGAGTCAGAGAGAGAGATAGAGAGAGGCAGCGGCAGAGGGAGAAGCAGGCTCCCCGCCTAGCAAGGAGCCCGATGCGGGACTCGATCCCAGGGCCCTGGGATCGTGACCTGAGCCGAAGGCAGATGCTTAACCATCTGAGCCACCCAGGCATCCCAGGAAAGTTCATTCTTAAAAGAAGTTCATTCTTAATCCAAAACAAGGATTAATGAAGCTGCCCATTTTAGGCCAAGGGATTGCAGCCTTGGGTTGCTTAGAGGATACTTTTGACAAATGCCTGCCCCAATTTGCAGCAGAGGGAAGCTGCTCTCCCTCTTGTCACCCTCTTGTCCTCCTGCCCTGTCTCTCTGCTCGGTTTTAAGCTCAGAGGAAAACTGTCCCATTTCCCTCTTTTCTTTCCTCTCCCTTGTTCAGGTGAGGCGAAAGGCCTTGCAAGAAGAGATCGATCGTGAGTCGGGCAAAACAGAAGCTTCTGAACCGAGGAAGTGGACAGTAAGTTTGCTGCTCAGGCTCTGGTCGGTTGCATACCCCGGCACCGTGAGTCCTCCTTCTGCATGTTGCACCCTGAAGAGCAGAGTGCTGGGAGACCATGTTAGTCCAGGCCCCTGAGGCTGTCCCTGTGTGCCTGCTGGCTCTTTTCACTGCAGAACTTGTCCTGAGCTAATTTCCTTCCTTCTGAAAGGGGTGCTTGCCTCCCTCCTGGAGAGCTGGCCAAGGAAGATAAGCAGCCTGAACCTTTGTCTCCTGCTGTGGATGGGTGGGGTGTCCCACACATTAGTCACTGAGGGCATGTGACAGGCGCTTTCCAGCAGTGGATGATGACCTCAAAAGGCTGCTTGGACCAGGGCAGGAGGCAGAAGTGAGAGCAGTGTGGTAGCAGGCCTCTCTCAGGACTGCCTTCGAGGTCCAGTTGAAATGGGAGATTTCCAAACCAGGCCTGAGGAGATGGGACAGGAGAGAGTGCAGCACAAGGACCACAAAGTCAGGCTGAGGGGGCTGAGGGATGTGGGCAGGACGGTGGGCCATACCAGGCCGGCCATACCAGGCCAGCCTCGGTGGCCATCGTAGGGAGCGTGCACTGGGCTCTAAGTACTGTGGGAGCTGCTGGAGGGCATTTATGTAGGGGAAATGGGGAGTGGGTTAGAAGGCTCAGCCTGCAGGCCTGAGGACTGAGATGGTGGCAGAAGATAGAAGAAAACAGCTTCATAATCCAAAAAGACTTGTTAATAGATTGGATTTGGGGGAGAGGGAAAGAAGGATCCAGACAACAGGGAAGCCTTGCCTGTCTGCACTGTTAAGTCACAGTTTAACATAGGAAAGAACAACTGATTTGGATCAAAAGACAAGTTCAGTTTCGGGCTCTGCCACTTTCTATTTGTGAGACTCAGGCAAGCAATGTCTTCTCTCTGAGCCTCAGTTTCCACACCTGTAGAATGAGACTCATACTCTGGTCCAGTGGGATATGGAGAGGGGCTTTGTTATGTGTCTTCCCTCTGGGTATTCTCTCCTTTCTCCCCAACCTCTTGAGCTGAGCAGAGCTGATAGACACCGTTATTGACTTGAGGAAGGCAAGAAACAGGACAGCATCATTCAGAACCTTTGGCTCCAGGGGCTGTACCCAGAAGGACCTGATGGGGGAAGAGGGCTCCTGGGGCCCAGGGGCGGTATCTGCTGGGGACACTTTAGGTGGCATTACCTCCCAGGACCTAGGGCCACTTGACCGCTGAGGCATATGGTGGGGCTTCCAGAGTGGCTGTGGGCCACTGCCGGAGGGTCCCCTTTCAGTGGGTCAGCAGCCCTTGGAGAGCTAGCCTACCTATGACTGGTCAGCCTCTGGCAGCACTCTCCTCAGACCCAGTGCAGGAGTGTCCGAGCTGGTTTCTCATCCTAGAAATTGTAGACCCAGGAAGCTGTAATTATGCCTGCAACTGGGCCACTATGAAGCTGGGAGAATTTGTCACTGCTTCACTCGGGGCAGGTGTCGCAGTGACTGGTTCTTACTGTTCTCCCAAATCTGACCTAGAAATAAGTGCTAAGCTGGGATTTGGCTTGCAAGTGGAAAGTTTCCAGGCAGTATGGAGGTCACCAATTGGGGTGGGGTGGGAAGAATGACAAATTATCAAGGATTTAAAGTTGCCAAACATTGTGCTCTGGGTTGTCGGTGTAAAATGTGATTTGATCCGTAGCTGAAGCCCTGTGAGAAGGGTATTACACTCTATTTTATAGATGACGACATTGAGGCTCAGAGAGTTTAGGTGATTTGACCAGGGTCACACAGGTAGGCTGGATTCTTGGGTGTCTGTGACTTTAAACTCCTAGTTTTCTTGAGCCAGGTTTCTTGTCTCTCTCACAGATATGGGAAGGACAGGGGTCTTTTCTTATGCAGCTTCTCTGAGGGACTGTCTTGAATTTTCTTGAACATGGATGATTTGTGTATAGGTGGTAGAGTACTCTGGACAGGAATTGGAACCCCCAAGTTCCTGGAGTTCCTGGGCTGGCTCAGCTTCGGACTCAGCTGTGTGACCCTTGACCTCTCTGGGCCTCCACTCCCTGCTATGAAATGCAGTGCTTGTGTGAAGAGAAGTTCATTTCAGATTCCCACTTGCCTCCTCCTCCTTCCAACTGTCAGAAACCTTAGGCTGAGGGAAGAGTGGGTAGCCAGCTGGTGAGGTGAGGTGAGTTGTGCTGGGAGGTGTGTAGAGGTGTGTTGGGAGGTGAGGTTGTTGGAGGTGAGGTGAGGTGAAGTATGCCATGCTCTTTGCAGTGAGTGAGGGAAGGAGTAAAGCAGACAGGCAGCTCCATGGTGGGCCCTGGTGTAGGCCAGACCTGAGATAGAATTCCAGCAGGGTCGTTAATGAGGTTTGTGCCCCCAGTTAAGCTGCAGACCTCCCATTTCCTTATCAGTAAAATGGGAATGCTAACAGTATTCCTCATAGGGCTCTTGTTAGAATTCAGAAGACAGTCCATTGATGTGCTCATGAGCACTGTGCCTGGTACATAGCCAGCATTTAATCAGCTGGATCCTCCCTGGTGGGGCTGGGGCTGGGGAAGGGGCAGGACTTTGGAAACCAGGAAAATAACCACCTCTTTTTCTCTATACAGGGAACTCAGTTTGGCCAGTGGGATACTGCCAGCTTTGAAAACGAGGAACAGAAACTGAAATTTCTCAAACTGATGGGTGGCTTTAAAAATGGGGCCCCTTCATTCAGCCGCCCCTCTAACACGATCGGAAGGCCCAACATGGCTCTCAGCAAGAAGGCGGCCGACGCCCTGCAGCAGAACCTGCAGCAGGACTACGACCGGGCCATGAGCTGGAAGCACAAGCGGGGCGCTGGCCTTGGCTTCTCCACCGCCCCAGACAAAACCTTTTATATTGACAGGAATGCTTCCAAGTCGATTAAGTTTGAAGATTAGACTCTACTGTCTTGTCCTTCAAAACAGCCCAAATTGCTTTTATTATTCATTTATGCAGTTGAAAGCCATCTGACAACTGTCTCAGATCAAACCTCTGCAGAGATTAAGGAAAACTCTGCCTGTGTGCTTGGACGAAGTAGGGTCAGGGAGCTCATGTTTCAGAAGCCAAGAGAACATGTGAGTGGCTAACACCTACTATTTTGTGTATTAAGCATTCCATCCCTGTGTGAAGACATCAGCATATATAAATAATAGCTAAATTTGCTGAGTGCTTAGTATGTGCCAGGTACGTACTACTGTGTTTCCCTCGCATTAATGTAGTTAGTAATTATGAAATAGGTGCTATTATCCCCATCTTACTGATGAGGAAACTGAGGTTCAGGGATGAAGTAATAAAATTGCCCAGTTCACCCAACCAGTAAGTGCCACGTGTTGGACTTCTGTATCCCACGTCCTGTGTCACTATTCACTACTCCGAATGTCCCCTTCTAGGGAATTTCACCAGGAATACTCATGGGGGATGAAAATCTCTTGATTGAAGAGACAAGTTTTGTGAGATGTCTAAATCTCAAATAGGAAGTAGAATTGATGGTAAACAGGTAAGAGCAAGCTCATTTTCTTTTCCCATCCTGAAGGCAAAGAGGGGTCTGAATGGCCACCAAGCAGATGTGGCTGAGCGTCCTCTGTGGTTGGGAAATGTGTTTCTAAACCAATTTTGCCTTTTCTGGCTCTCTTGCCTTCCATCCTCAGTGTTGAGCTTGGATTTAATCTTCATGCTTTAACTGAATTCTGACCAAGGCATTTTAGAGAGACTGTTAGTCTTAATGAACTGACGGCAAATTCCCAGGGATATGTCTATTAGAATCTTTGTGACCACAAGGGAGAGAGTCCTAGGTGACTTGTGTGGTGGAGGTCTAATGCCAGGAGGCCTGGGATGCACAGGAAGTTGCCTCATCATGACACTGCTGCTATGCCTGGACCCTACAACCAGCCTCACAGAGCTCCAGGTACAGTGACCTGAGTGACAAATGACCACCTTTTCCATTCACCTAGCATTTTGCATCTGAAAATACAGGTTCTGAGTGTGACATTTTCACATCACTTGGCCTGAATGCCTCCTACAGATATCCCAGCTCAGGTAGCTAAATAGCCAGGATATTCAGTCTCTCACTGGGCAGGAAGTCCTGATGTGTAGGGATTGACTCAGCAACTCAGCAAGGAAATGTTCTTTTCCTCTCTGCTCCATCCATCCTATTGGCTTCATCAGGCTGCTTGAAAGAATAGCTGTAGCAGTTCTAGGTGGGATATCAAGATACTAGAACATTCCAGAGGAAGAAGAAAAACCTTTTGGCTCAAGGAAAGTTCCAGAAGACCTTTCATCGTCATTCATTGCCTAGTGGTCATACGCCCATTTCTGAGCCAGCCCCTGGCGTGTGGAGGAAGAGTCTCCTCAGGCCAGTCATAAAGGAAGAGTGAGGGGCAGGTGCTGGCAAGACAAACATGGAGTCCACTACTGCCCCACTGGGCAGAGGTGAGGCGGGCCTGCCTGGGTGCTGCCTAGTAAGCATGGGCCAGGGAAGAGGTCGCACAAATCTATCCCAGCAGTGTTTCAGGTGGGTCACTTCACTCGGAATGTGAATTGGGCCTTTGATGGATTCAACCTTGAGATACATGATGGAAGAGGCCATCTAAGTGCCTGGAAGGTAAGGTTCTGTGTTTGAGTTAGCTACTTCAGAGCACCTCCTTTTCACAGGGGGATAAATCTCTCCTGGCCTTGATCTACACCACAGGAATTCACTCACTGTATTGACTGTTTCTCTCAGTCTTTTTAACTTGTCAAGAGATCACTCTACAGTTTGGGCCTGCCTTGGCTCGTCAGGAAGGGTTGTGCTCAACCATCTCTTGGGTGATTCTGGAGATTAGTTAATTAGTTGTCCACTCTCTTGTCCCCATAGTGATAGTTCTCATTAGCGATGTGATGGTCAGGCCTTTCCCCTCCTGTCATTTAGTATAAATAGTCCGTGTAATAGGATTTGACTTTCAAACTTAATGTATCACCATTGGCTGAAGAGTTCCACTGGCTTAGGAGAAGGTTTATAGTTTGTTTCTGAAGGAGGGTCTAACCAGAGCAGATGGAACAGCCCAGACAGCAAGATGGCCAGTGGCCTCAAAATGGACTTAACCTTGGTCTGCATTGACAAGAGTGGCAGAGACACCATTTCCCAAGTGAGGAGGTCTCTGTCCTGTAGCAGTGTGCAGTCCCGGGAGGATTTTCACTCTGAGCTTCCTGTGTTAGCTGGGGTCCTCGCTTTTGTGAATTAAACGCATTGACTTGTGCCACCTCTGCCCCTTTTCCCCATGTCCAGAGCCATCAATTTGCAAGGGTTTTTTGGGTGTGATTTCCTATGCTCTTGATGTCTTGACTCTGTAGAACACAGCATGTCTCCACTGCAAAAGGCGGTTTTGGGATTTTTACTCAGAATCGGGGCAGGAGAGGTCTGGCATATAGCACAGCCAAGGTCTTAGTTGAATATTTAACAGCCCTGTTCTCATTTCTCCCTTGGGGATTTCTCACTCGACTGACCCTCCTATTGGCAGGGTCCTTCCCTCCTCAGTTGCCCTTATCCAGCTATCTCTGAAACCTTATGATTCTTAATTACTTCATCCTTTGCAGTGATTCCTGCTATTTCTGCCTTAGCCTGCTAGGCCCTACCCTGAGACTTGCTTTCCATAACTAGACCGGTCCATCAAAAGTATTTGCTAGATAGACAAAGTTCTCCTCGAAAAGAAATTGTGTATTCAGCTCTACAAACAGAATTATTGAGGTTTGTGATTGGCAGAATAATGACCCCCCATGGGGTCATTGGACCCCATGGACAACATATGTTGTCCATGTCCCAGTCACCAGAACCTATGAGTGTTAGCACACAAAAGAGAGTTTAGGGTAGCAGATGGAATTACAGTTGCCAGTCAGCTGACCTTAAAATAAGATGATCCTGGATTGTCTGATTGGGCCCAGTGTAATCATATGGGTTCTTAACTGTAGAAGGGGGAGGCAGAAATGTGGAAGAGACTTGTAAGAAAAACTCAACAAGCTGTTGCTGGTTTTAAGTTAGAGGAAGGGGCCACAAGCTAAAGAATGCAGATGGCCTCTAGAAGCTAGGAAGGTCAAGAAAACATTCTCCCCCACCTGCCCCCAGAGCCTCCAGAAGGAACAAAGCCCTGCCCATACCTTCATTTTGAGGGTAAGCCTGCTGAGACCTGTTGGACTTGGGAAAAACAGATCTGCAAGGTGATAGAATTGTATTGTTGTAAGCCACTAAATTTGTGGTAATTTGTTAAAGCAGCAATAGAAAAGTAATACAAGTCTCATGCAGAACTTTTCCTCATTTTTTTTTACCTTATTTCTTAAAATTCTTTGAATTTTTATTGTTCCATTGTCCTTTGTAATGACATCCCCTGTAGGCTCTGGTTTTCAGAGATTGGCTAATTGATTCAGTAATGGGCTGAGGAAAACCACAACAGATCATAGAAAATCTAAGCCTTTGCCTGGGCCTGGTGACAGATGGTTCTGAAGCTCCTTTGAGGTAATGCATTACTCAACCTAATACGAAAGTCCAAATTCATGTCAATTTAAGAACATTATGTTACTCAGGCTTGGGAATGAACGCTGTCTGATATGAACAGCCTCAGAGTAGAAGAAAAGACTTAAAGCGGGTAATCTGTGAATTTGCCAATTGTGTTTCATTCAAACAGATGTATCATATAGTAACAGTGGTATATGAAATAATTTTAATGGAAATAATTTTGTGAAATAAAGGTCCCTTGGTAATATTTGAGTAATACCACCATGCTTTCTGAACTTCTGTATGTTTTGTTCAGTAAAGGGGAGCAAAAGGGTTATTCAGAATCCGCTGTTCTTTTTTTTTTTTTTAAAGATTTTATTTATTTCTTTGAGACAGCATGAGAGGGAGGAGGGTCAGAGGGAGAAGCAGACTCCCTGCCGAGCAGGGAGCCCGATGCGGGACTCAATCCAGGGACTCCAGGATCATGACCTGAGCCGAAGGCCGTCGCTTAACCAACTGAGCCACCCAGGCGCCCTAGAATCCGCTGTTCTTTAACGTAGGCTCTTTTCTCAGGCTGGGGGCCAGGGGTGGGGGGTGGGGGGGAAATTAACAATTAAGTTGGCCAGAAAATCCATATATATTCTTTCGTCCTAAACTGTTCAGTAAAAATATGAATTTAATACAAATTTATTTTTAAAAATTATTTTAGCCACTTTTACTGAGATTTACTGTGTGAACTGTAATCCTACATTTCACAGGGTAGAGATGAAATGTAATTTATGTCCAGTATATATATTCCAGAAGTACAAAAGTTTGGGGCACTTTAATCTACAACTTGGATTAAATGAATGCATTTTCCTGAGCACAGGCTTCCAGGCTGTGAATCACCACCAATCAATATTAATGCTTTTATTGATTCAAAATAAAATGTCAGTGGAAGCTCATTAGCAATAATACAAGAATCAGATTCCAGATTCCAAAAATCTGGTGGTAAAAAGGTAGAATCACATGCAGTTTAGAATTATGGCCACAAAGCAAACAGGGCAATATGTTTAGACAAGTTCTCTTCTAGATGAAGAGAATCAGAAGTAATTAAATGAACAGTCATGAACATAAATGTTCCTTTGGGAGGTTTATTCGGTTATATACTTTCCACTGAAGCCACAGAGGGAATTGCAGATTTGACCTCACTTTCTCTAATCCACCATTGTGTTTTTTTAAATTTATTTTTAATTGTACTTGACATATACTGTATTAAGTTTCATGTGTACAACATAGTCATTTGACATTTATATGCCTTAAAAAATGCCTACCACAAAAAGTATAATTACCATCTTTTACCCTACAAAGTTATTACAATATTACTGATTGTATTCCCTCTGCTTATATCTCTGTGATTTATTTATTTTATAACTGGAAGTTTGTACCTCTTAATCCCCTTCACCTGTTTCTCTCTTCCTCCCACCCCCCTGCCCTCTGGCAACCACCAGTATTTTCTCTGTATTTATGAGTCTGTTTGTTCATTTGTTAGATTCCACATGTAAGTGAAATTGTATGATATTTATCTTTTTCTGACTTACTTCACTTACCGTAATACCCTATAGTGTTTCCATGTTGTTGCAAAAGGCAAGAGTTTACTCTTTTTTATGGCTGAGTAATATTCCTGATGGGGTTTTTTTGGGTAAACACCCAGAAGTGGATCATACGGTATTTCTATTTTTAATTTTTTTAGGAACCTCTATACTGGTCTCCATAGTGGCTGCACCAATTTACATTCCCACCAACAATGCATGGAGGTTCCCTTTTTCCACATCCTCGACAACACTTGTTATTTCTTGTCTTTTTGATTATAGTTAATCTGACAGGTGTGAGGTGATGTGTCATTGTGATTTTCATTTGTGTTTCCCTGATGATGAGTGATGTTGAGTATCTTTTCATGTGTCTGTTGGCCATCTGTATATCTTCTTTGGAAAAATGCCTGTCCAGGTCCTCTGCCTGTTTTTAATTGAATTATTTGAGGGGTTTTGGTGTTTAGTTGTATGAGTTTTTTTAATATGTTTTGGATATTAACTCCTTATCAAATATTTACATATATCTTCTCCCATTCAGTAGGTTGCCTTTTTGCTTTGTTGATAATTTCCTTTGCTGTGCAAAAGCTTTTTAGTAGTCCAGTTATTTATTTTTGCTCATGTTGCCCTTGCCTGAGGAGACAGATCCAGAAAAATGTTGCTAAGACCATTGTCTAAGAGTTTACTGCCTATGTTTTCCTTCAGGAGTTTTATGGTTTCAGGTCTTACATTTAAGTCTTGAATCAATTTTGAATATATTTTTGTATGTGGTGTAAGGAAGTGGTACAGTTTCATTCTTTTGATGTACCTGTCCAGTTTTCCCAACACCATTTATTGAGCAGATGGTCTTTCTCACCATTGTAAGATCCTTGGATCCTTTGTCATAGGGTAATTGACCATATAAATGTGGGTTTATTTCTGGGCTCTCTGTTCTCTTCTGTTGATTTGTGTGTCTGTTTTTGTGCCAGTACTATTCTGTTTTGATTACTGTTGCTTTGTAGTGTAGTTTAAAATCTGGGATTGTGCTACCTCCAGCTTTGTTTTTCTGTCCCAAGATTGCTTTGGCTATTCAGGGTCTTTTGTGGTTCCATACAAATTTTAGGATTGTTCGTTCCAGTTCTGTGGATAATGCTATAGGTATTTTGATAGGGATTGCATTGAACCTATAGATTGCTTTGGGTAGTATGGACATCTTAACAATATTCTTCCAATCCATGAGCATGGTATATCTTTCCATTTATTTATGTGATCTTCAGTTTCTTTCATCAGTGTCTTATAATTTTCAGTATAGTTCTTTCACCACCTTGGTTAAATTTATTCTTAGGTATGTATGTATTCCATTATAGTTAACATACAGTGTGATATTAGTTCAGGTGTATGATACAGTGATGCAGTAATTCTATACATTACAGACTGCTCATCATAGTAAGTGTACTCTTAATCCCCTTCATCTATTTTTACCCATTCCCCTCCACCCCACACCCCTCTGGTAAACATCAGTTCTCTTTAGTTAAGAGTCTGTTTTTTGGTTTGTCTTTTTTTCTTTGTTCATTTGTTTTGTTTCTTAAATTCCACATCATATGGTATTTGTCTTTCTCTGACTTATTTCACAGTGTTATACTCTGTAGATCCATGTTGCAAATGGCAAGATTTTCTTTTTATGGCTAATACTCGAGTGTGTAGGTGTCACCTCTTCTTTATCAATTCATCTATTGATGGACACTTGGGCTGCTTATATTCCAAGTAATTATTGATCAGTATATATTTATTGCCATTTTGTTGCTTGTTTTATGGTTGTTTTGTTGTTTTCCTTTTGCTCTCTTTTCTCACTGTTTGCTGGCTTTCTTTAGTGATATACTTGGATTCCTTTCTCTTTATTTTTTGCACGTCTATTACTGATTTTTGATTTGTAGTTACCATTAGGTTTGTATATAACATCTTATGTATACATCAGTCTATATTAAGTTGATGGTCACTTAAGTTTGAATCCATTTACTCCTCTCCCCCCACATTTAAAGTATATGGTGTCTTACATCCTTTTATTTTATGAATCCCTTATTTTTTTTTTAGATATACCTAATTTTCCTACTTTTGTGCTTCCTGCTTTTCTTCTTCCTATTTATCATCTTTCCTTTCCACTCAGAGTCCCCTTTAACATTTCTTGTACAGCTGGTTTAGTGGTCATGAATTTAACTTATTTGTCTGGGAAGCACTTTCTCTCTCATTCTGAATGATACCCTTGCTGGGTAGAGTATTCATGGCTGCAGGTTTTTTCCTTTCAGCACTTTGAATATTATCATGCCACTCCCTTCTGGCCTGCAAACATTTCTGAAAAATCACCTGAATGCCTTACAGGGTTTCCCTTGTATGTAACTGTTTTCCCTTGTGGCTTTTAAAATTCTCTCTTTATTACTACTGTTGGCCATTTTAATTACTATGTGTCTTGGTGTGGACCTCCTTGGGTTGATTTTGATGGGGGCTCTTAGTGCCTCCTGGATCTGGATTTCTGTTTCCTTCTCCAGATTTGGGAACTTTTCAGCTATTATTTCTTAAGCTTTCTGCCCCCTTTTTTCTTTCTTCTCCTTCTGGGATCCCTATAATGCAGATGTTATTACACTGATAGTGTTGCTGAGTTCCCTAAGTCATTTTCATTTTTCATTATTGTTTTTTTCTCCTTCCTGTTCAATTTGATTGCTTTCTATTACTCTGCCCTCCAGGTCATCAATCCATTCTTCTGCTTCCTCTCGTCTACTATTTATTCCATCTAGTGTATTACGAATTTCATTTATTGAGTTCTTTATCTCTGATTGGGTCTTTTTATGTTTTCTATTTCTTTGTCTTACTGAGGTCCTCCACTCTTTTCTACAGTCCAATGAGTATCTTTATGACCATTACTTTAAATTCTTTATCAGGTATATATATTACTTATCTCCATTTTGTTTAGCTCCCTTGCTATGATTTTGTCCTGTTCTTTCATTTGTGACATATTCCTTTATCTCCTCATTTTGTCTCTGTGTGTCTGTTTCTATGTTAGGAAAATCAGCTACCTCTCCTGTTCTTGAAAGTAGTGGCCTTATGAAGGAGGTCCTTTAGTGCCATGCAGTGTCTGGTTTATCAGAACCTGGTGCTTCAGGGTGTCTACTATGTGTGTTGTGTGTCCTGTTACTGTGGCTGAGCTGCTTTTACTTTCAGGTGTCTGCAGTGGCTCTTTGCCTGTTGTGGGCAGGGTTTGGTCCCTGTGTTAAGTGGGCCAATCTGGGGCCACGTCTGGCTTGAGTTGAGTCAGACCAACCATTTGCTAGAGATGCAGTAGCACTCAACTACAGGGCACTTTCCTTGTGTTGACCGCTGAGAAGCTTTTGGGTTCTGGCCAAGGGTGCATTGGAGGAAGCAGGTCCATAGAATGCAGGGGCGCATGGTTGTAGCAGGGTTTGTGCAGGTCTGCTGTAGGAGGGGACCTGCAGCCACCTACAACTCCTGCCAAGCCTGCTGGGTTGGAGTGGGCAGATCCACAGAAGTGTGGGGATGGGGTGCGCAGTGTCAAGCTAGTTGAAAAGTGTGCTCTGCTGGTTCCTGCAGATGTCTGTATCTTGGCTGGGCTCAGGGGAGGGAAATGGCACTCACCAGCTCCTTGGCTCTGGAGAAGTCTCCTAGGGATCCCTTCCCCTGCAGAACATGCTCTGATATTAGTAAACCAATCTCCCTA